CGGAACTCGTGAAAGTGACATACAATAAAGCTGATCTCAAACATTCTATTCAGCATCACATCGTAACGAATGGTCCACCAGTCAATGCAAGACCAAAAATGTTAGATCCCAAAAGACTAGCTATCGCAAAACAAGAATTCGACAAGCTGATGAGGCTAGGCATCGTAAGGCCATCGAACAGCCCGTGGGCATCTCCGCTACATATGGTCCCGAAAAAGAATGGAGAGGTTAGGCCATGTGGAGATTACAGAGCACTGGACAAACAAACAGTAGCTGACAGATACCCTATACCGCACATCCATGATTTCACCTACAGTATAGAGGGCACTACTATCTTCTCGAAGATCGACTTAGTCAGGGCATATTAACACATCCCTGTTGCCCCACAAGACATACCGAAAACTGCGGTAACAACCCCATCTGGGCTATATGAATTCCTGCGTATGCCTTTTGGACTGACTAACGCGGCAAAAACCTTTCAGCGATTTATCGACCAGGTCATTGGAGGTTTACCTGGGGTATACGCGTATATTGACGATTTTTTAGTAGCTAGCACCACTAAAGATGAGCATATACAACAACTACGGCAATTATTTATGCGACTCAGAGAACATAGCATTTCTATAAATATTGAGAAGTGTGAATTCGGAAAGGAATCTTTACAGTTCCTAGGTCACCATATAACTTCTCAAGGCATCACACCAATAGCAACAGAAGTCGACGCCATTAGGAATTATCCACTACCCGACTCATGGAACAAGTTACGTCGATTTCTCGGGTTAATAAATTATTACAGACGATTTATTCCGAATTGTGCGTCAATATTGCAACCACTAACAGATGCGTTACGCCGGCACGCACGGACATTCCAATTATCACCAGACGCGATTCAAGCATTCGAGGACGCTAAAAAAGCACTAACTAAAGAAGCGACACTAACCAGACGAAAGAGTGAGACACCATTAGCTATCATGACGGATGCTTCAGACGTAGCGGTAGGAGCCGTTTTACAACAATTAGTAAATGGCATATGGGAACCGCTCTCATTTTTTTCGAAAAGACTGAATCCGACACAAACAAGATATAGTACTTTCGGAAGAGAACTCCTAGCGATTTACTTGGCAACAAAACATTTCCGAAATATGATTGAGGGTACCATTTTCACAGTATATACAGACCACAAACCCCTCACAAAAGCATTAAACGCCAAACAGGACAACTACTCGCCGAGGGAAATCCGACAATTGGAATTTATTTCCCAATTCACGTCTAACATACAGTATATCAAAGGCAATAGTAACGAAGTGGCAGACGCGTTATCCAGAACGATGGTCAACGCTCTCATCCAGTCCGAAATCGATTATCACAAGTTAGCAGCATTACAAAATATCGACGTCGAGTTAAACAGACTAAAGTCTGCCAATACAACCTCGTTAGTTCTCAAAGAAACTCCATTGGAAGAAGTAAGCATCACCTGCGATATTTCTACAGGTCAACCAAGACCATTTATTCCAAAGCCGCTAAGGCGAAACATTTTCGAAGCCATGCACAATATTTCGCATCCCGGAATAAAGGCCACCATCAAACTAATCAGTGAACGTTTTGTATGGACAAGTATGAATCGGGATATTCGTAATTGGACGCAAGCGTGTATAAAATGCCAGAGAGTTAAGATACATCGCCACACCAGTTCCGCAGTAGGTCATTTCCGTCATCCCGATAACAGATTCGAGCACGTACATATCGATATTATAGGACCACTGCCGGTTTAGAATGGCTTTAGTTACATTTTCACTTGCATTGATAGATTCACACGATGGTCTGTAGCTGTGCCCATAAAAGATATTACAGCCGAAACTATCGCAAAAACCCTAGTAGAGCATTGGATTTCCCATTATGGCGTACCTACTAATATTACAACCGATAGAGGAGCTCAATTCGAGAGCCGCCTCTTCCAACAACTCACAGGACTACTCGGAATCAAACGAATTCGCACAACATCCTACCATCCGATGTCGAATGGTATGGTAGAGAGATTGCATCGGCAACTTAAAGCTTCCCTTACAGCTGTCATCAGCAATAACGATTGGGCCAGGAAGCTACCGTTAGTCATGTTGAGCTTAAGACCAACAATCAAACAAGATATAGAATGCTGCCCAGCAGAATTGGCTTATGGAACCACACTACGTCTGCCAGGAGAGTTTTTCACCGCAGGTAAAAGCGTTCCAACTGATATAGCGGACTATGTACAACGTCTTAAGCAGCATATGAGTAGTCTAAGGATAACGCTTCCGAGACAACATAAACGCCGTGTGTACATACCCAAACAACTAAGTGACAGTACCCATGTGTTTATCAGTAGGGATAATGTGCAACGTCCCTTACAACCGGCCTACGATGGTCCATTTAAGGTGATTAGAAGAGACGACAAAACTATTACGGTAGACAAAGCTGGAAAAACGGATGTAATTAGCATCGACCGAGTCAAACCAGCTTTCATTGAAGCCTACGATCAGCACGTACATACAGATACTGCGAAAACCGTTGAATCATCGAAACGTCAATTCCAATCATCAACGACATCGACGAACACAAACAAAGAGAATCCAGTAACCACAAAGTCTGGTCGAAGAGTAGGATGGCCCCAACATTATGTCGCTGCAATCTTCTATTAATAATCTTCTACTATTTTAAATATTAATTATAACTTCCACTTCATTGTATACATATGCATTACTAATTTCATGTTATACGCTATAAAACTCAACATGTCTTATGTACCCCTACACTTACACGTATAATTTTTGTTTAAAATGTAAAGCAATACCGCATTCCTTCTATTTATTACTATTATTTTTTATAACCTCACGGACAGGCACAAACCAAATGTACAGCACACACTAACTTCATCTTAATTTTGTACAAACCATTTTTTTCAAACGATTGTAACTACCCCATTCAGTTTACTATTTTTTTGTGCAAACACGGACATTTTTCCTTATATCTTTGTTTGCAGGGGGAGCTATTATAGCGACTCACGTGCAATTGAGTTTAGTTCAGTCAAGGTCTTTTGTTGACCTATTTAATGGACAAAGTCATCCATGATATAACAACTTGTTGTACTATCTTTATTATTATGCTTGTATGAAATACATATGCTTGAACATTGTTTGGCGCCTACTCATGTATTCATTCTGCTAGCTTCATTATTAACTGCTTAATCTATTCGCTGACTCATCCATTTTTCTATACATATATATATATATATGTGTACATTTGCACCCATTCACTACAACTACTTGCTACTGTTACAATCGTAGTTCGCTTGCTCATTCATTTTGCCTCTCTGCTGTCTGGTCCGAATTATCTACTAAATAAACTGTAGTAGCTGCTTCTTTTTGCCTTCTGATTTCAAACATCGTTGAAGATTATACGATAACGGTTCGAGGGTGATTAATTATCGAAGCACAGCCACTACACAATATTAGATCAAAATGACATGAAAAATTGGAACGAACTCACTTAAAGCAGGAAAATTTCACGTTTTGGAATAGTCATAATATCCCAATGAGTTCTGGATGTCATTACGCGGAGTGGAATTTTCATAAAATGATAATTTGTTCGGTGAGTGATATGATTGCGAAAATGTCATAAGTTAGTGAAAGCACGAACAAGATTAATAATTCCACATTCGGTCATGATATTGGCAATAATGTAATAATAAGCATATAATGATAATTTGAATCGTAATCGAACAAACCGACGAATGGATCAATGAGAATGGTTGACATGAGAACAAAGTATCGATAAGATAATACGACTTGAGCATGTCCATACCATGATGCACAGGCTTTGCTGATTGCGTCGGATTGGATATTGCGCTGGCTTCGCTGAATTTGTCCGTCGAAGGTGTGGAGTGCAGAAGTTCCTTGATCGACGTAGCTTGCTGCGTTGCGTTCGTCGTCGGCGGGCTTACCAATTATGTGGTGGTCGGTATTCGATATAATCATTAAACTTCGTATACAGTTCGTCTTGATAACCGTTCTATATAACGTCCCAACGGTATATTAATCAGAAGACAAATACGAAGTGTTGATTACATTTATTACGAGACCACACACATATATCCAAATGTACAGATGCGTTAAACAAGCATAGAAGAGTTGTGCCGAAGGGCAAGCACGCGAGCAAGAGCCAGAGCAAGAGCGAGACGAGAGTGTGTGAGTATGAATAACATGGACATATATATAGCATGTGAAATGAATGAGTAATCGAATCAAATAATCAGTTAGTAGTAAAACTAGCAGAGTGAATAGATGCGTAGACCGTAAGCAATATTCAAGCATACGTATTTCATACAAGCACAAAATAATAAGTGTACAATAAGTTGTTATAGTGCGGATGACTTTGTCCGCTAAATGAGTTAGCAAAAGGGCTTAACTGCGTTAGATGAGACTAAACTCATTTGCTATAAGTTGTCTCTACAGAATAATAAGCAGGGGGTGATGCTTATTTATTGGAAAAGCAAACCGAAGAATATCGAAGCGAATGAAAGGAAACAAGAGTGCCAATATGGACCCATGTTAACGATACTGGTGCGAAGCCTTGTTTGTTTCGGAATCGAGGCGACGATGGTGTTTTCAATTTGCAGAAGATTCGCGAAACTGCGTAAACTGACGATTCACAAGAATGATTAGTGTCATCGGATTCGCCAGTACAGATCATCAATTAAAACATTATCAGTGTATTTCCAGGTGTGATAAGTGTATGTAATCTTACTTCAGAAAAATTATCTCAACCGGTTTCGTTTGGCAGATATTGGACACTTGAGGCTTACCAGAATTTAAGAGGTGCGTAACAGTTAGGAGTGATTGAGTAGGGATTTCTATTGCTTATGTTACAAAGTAACCGGAGTTATTTGTGTGTTTGGTCTGCTTTTCGTTTCAATGACACACTTACTTTGCCTGTAATCTGTCAAATATTTTGTTTTTTTCACTCAGATGGACCCTTCTGTCATCGAAAACTTTTGCAGTATTACTGGGACGTCTGAAATGGAAGCCAAACATTTTTTAGAAGCTTTCGATTGGAATTGCGATGTAGGAATAGCGGAGTTTGAGCTGATCCTTTGTTTTAGGAGGCAGTCAAAGCGTATTTCGATTCTGAGGATGGTGTTCATTCAAGCGATGTTTCTCATTTCGACCAAGGTACTGAACCACTGAGTAAAAGCAACAAGGAGCCATCAGTTTCCACATATAATAAACCACCTCACAGCAAGCCTAAAATAGCAACTCTGAGTACCCTGGAAAATGATAGGTAAGATTATATGTTGTCTTATTTATTTTGGTCAATTTAAACGAACATGATTGTTTGAACATATCAGATAAATTATAGTCTCACCGTAATTTCCACTCCACTTTCGAGCTCCAAGTATCTGGTCATTTTTTTACAGTTTTGAGTGCTTATTAGTGCTGCCTCAGCCCTAGCGCTAAGTGCGACATCAACGCCAGCAAAACTAGACGAAGATATCATAGTGTCCAGATAAACGCACGTGAAACAAGCTTTTTCAAGCGACAGATGGAGAGCGAATTTGTAGTACTTTACTAGATTCTTGAGTCCGGTTCTCAGACAGACAGTAGACATCGACGTTAAGACTTTCTAAAGACAGTCAACCCTATCTGCAGTTCGAACTGCATTAGTGTGGGAACGTTGAAGGAACCCATTTTTAATGGTGTATGTGGTTTCCAAAAGGCTGGTTCATAGTTCATCCAATCAGTGACTTAAGATCGTTTCGATGAAACGGGATTTCCAACATAGACGAGCTGCTGTATGAGCTGAAAAATAAATGAATTCATGAAGTGGAAATAAGAAGGAACAGACAAGTGATGCAATATAAAAGAAGGACGAATGTAACCGAATAGTTATGAGTATAATTTATGAGAATGAGGATTGACGCAAGCGTAATTTATTCTAGTTGAAGTTATTATTCTATTTGTGTGAGGGTTGGGATATTACCCAGTACTCATCTGTACTTTTGTGCGGATCTCAAGTGAAATGTCAAAATATTACAATCTAAGCTAACTGCGAGTCTACTGCTCCTTGTGTATTTGTTGTAGTTATAGTCTTTTTATTTCACTGCACCAATAAGTCGTTGACGTCGATCGCTCATATTCAGTTAAGCTAGGGTTTATTAACGTTGAAGATTTTAGCAACATTTAACTGCTTGCTCCTAAAAGTAAGAAATAACTGGTTAAACTAACTGAAGGTATTAGGCTGTATTTTAATATTGGAAAGTCGTCGAACCAGTCAACCATCTGATAAGAGCTAGAAATCAGCTGGTTTATGGCGTAGTTATGAATGTATCGATCATATTTCTTTCCACGTTATTCTGAAGTACAAGCACACTCGCTAGTTCGTTTTCTTGTATGAGGATGGTAAGTGACCTTGTCAACACAGTGTGTGACAAAAGAAACTAGTCAATTTATATTGTTAGTAAAGTATGTGCTGATGCAGTTGCACAGATGCTATCAAAATATGTGGTTTGCTTAACATTGTAAAAATCTTCAAGAGTTTGGCAAAGGTTTCATATCACTGAAACAATAGATAATTCATAATTCTACATCGTCATAAAATAGTAAATGAAGTAGCTGAGTCCTTTGACCTTGTAATTTATCCGGGAATTTCTTTTTAACCGTAATTATTCGTAAGTCAACCAAATATCACCATGGATAAAATGGGTCAGCCTAACTACTCAGGACTTGCATCATTCATGACATCTGACTACGTCTATTAATATTAGGTTGTTGGATAAAATGAATTATTTACTAAGACCCAAATAGCCTATGATGCTGAGTGATATACGAGTAGGTAGGTGGAGGACTTTAGACAGTTGGCTCCTAGTTTACTGTTGATCCGAGCAGCTTAGAAAAATGGTCTGTTGGCTGAGTAAAACTATCGATTTGGGCATCCGGGCAATATCCCAGCCTTCACAGAAGTCGAATGATTTATGTGGAGCATATATATTTAGTGCCTTCTTGTACCACTGTTTGGTTTAAATAAATAATAAATGAAAATAAATCGAAAAACACAGGCTTTGTATGACATGGGTCTTAATCGGTTTGAATAGCGTAAGGGGATTCCCTCTTTGTTTTAGATCCTACTACATATGTTTATTTGTACTGCTTAGCTTTGCCTTGTTATTTTTACTAACCTTGTTTGTTAAGTTCTTTTTCTTGTCCCGTGTTTTGAAGCACAAATCTGTGCCTTTTTTCTTTATTCTTGACAGTCAGCTGTGCAAACGTATTTGGAGGTACTTATTAATTTTCGCTCTTGAAAATTGTTTCGCTTCTGCTGTCACTTGGAAATGCTCCCTTGTTGTCCTGTGGTATTAAAGTTTGGTAGTTAAATGCTGTGAAGAGGTTAAATAAGTACCACATTCGTCGACTTTATTAATTGTATCATTAAATTGGAATGATGGGCCAATTACAGTTCCGCTTTGTTATTTTTTTATAAAGTGCTACTTGGTGGGATGAATGTGTTGGCCTTTACATAAAACTAGATAGGTCTTCTTGTATACCGACCAAATAAGTTTGTAAAATGGTCATTAATTCGTTTCAGTTAACCCTTTTTTATCAAGGACATTTAACTTATGTCATCAAAAAACAAGCTTTCTTCTGGGGTCCACAAGTTTATTTTTACTGATTATCATGAATGTAGCAATCCTGAGTGTTAGTCATATGACACGTGTTTGCTTACAATTTTGTCCCATAATCGAACTCCTTTTCACTAGTTTGCGGACACATTTAGTATCAACCTTTTACAGCACAGATTGTCGTTGGTTTCGTGTTAATCGTTTCCATTTGTCAAAACAAAATAATTGCGTAATGATAACGCTATTCCATTTTTCTTTGTTTAGTGATGATGAATCAGATAAGGGACAGGCATTTTATGTTGGCGGTTCGGAGACTGGAGGTGGTGGCCAACAAGTCCTTGGTCCTCCAAGACGTGATGGTAATAAGAGAACTCATGATCCTTCCCAAACTCCCGACGTTTTCATCCGTAATCTTTTTCAAGCTGCTAGAGGTAAAGGAGCAGAAGTGTTGGATACACACCAATACAATGAATACAAAAGTAAATCAAAAAAGCAATCGCCTTTTAGTGGAATTGGCTACAAGTAAGAAAAATTTCGGACAAAAATTATGCGCAATATCATAGTCAATTAATTTTCTTCTGATGTTAGATTTTCTTAATTTTCTCACTTATTATGGCTCATTGTCATTTCATGCAGTGTCTATACTTGCACCACAGTATTGATATTTTTAACGATGAGTCTGAATTGTGATGTGCTACGCGTCCCGCGTTGTATTACTAGTTGCTATCAAAACTTAGAATCAATAAATGAATTCAGGCAACATTGAGTCACCTGTTTTAGTAGGTACATAAGCCGTTAAAGAATGCTCGATTCAGTATGCCAAATTATCAACGGTAAACTCTAAATCCTTACAACAAACTAGTATATGTTTATTCTATGCTTTTCAAATCAGCATGGATAAAGTAAATTGTGAATCACTGCTCTAAAAGCATGACAAAGGTATTCAATCAGGGGCACAAAATGCTTCCCATTTACCACAGTGTGGACAACTATGTCGCTTCATCTCCAGTTATAAGGATGGTAAGACAACTGACCAATGTTATTAGCTCTTACACTGGGATGATCATAAACTTAAATTCGTTTATTTGATTACAAAGGGAACTGCATAAGTTACCGGCTGTGCTTTCCTTATTTAAAAACGTTGTTTATTAAGATTACACATGGTACATGAGATCAATTTAAAAGTTATCTGGTTTTCAACTAAGTATCAATAACAATCAATAATCCTACCCGAAGATTCATAATGTTTTTAGTCATCATTCCAGTTTTGACGAAAGAGCACAAGTTATGGAGAATACGTCTAGCAATGTTGAGATCAAATAAGTGTCACACAGAATCGGTCCCTGAATTCCCTGCTAAGTTTGAGGGTGGGGAAAATCCGCTATTCCTTCTCGACATCCTCTCATATGCCGCTGCCTGGGAAGTCCTACCCACTATTTTCTTGTCCCCGGAGTGCTATTTTACGAGATAAAGAGGACAATATGCGAATATCCGAGGCTTAAACCGCATTGGTGGGTACGAAAGTTCCACCTGACGAATTTAGGAATCCCTAATTTCAAACTAATGGTACACATGGGATCTAGTTTCCCGATGAAACAAAAGGCGTTTGAACCTGTTTTGGTCATTGGCTACCATGGAAACGTGTTTGCTAACGTTATTCTACTGCCTTGTGGATTAGCTCTCCAGGTCAAGGGCTCGGTGTGTGGTTCCCCGAGGAGACTTCATGTTCCAATTTGGGCGCTCGGGTAATATCCGTACCCTCACACAAATAGAATAATAACTTCAACTAGAATAAATTACGCTTGCGTCAATCCTCATTCTCATAAATTATACTCATAACTATTCGGTTACGTTCGTCCTTCTTTTATATTGCATCACTTGTCTGTTCCTTCTTATTTCCACTTCATGAATTCATTTATTTTTCAGCTCATACAGCAGCTCGTCTATGTTGGAAATCCCGTTTCATCGAAACGATCTTAAGTCACTGATTGGATGAACTATGAACCAGCCTTTTGGAAACCACATACACCATTAAAAATGGGTTCCTTCAACGTTCCCACACTAATGCAGTTCGAACTGCAGATAGGGTTGACTGTCTTTAGAAAGTCTTAACGTCGATGTCTACTGTCTGTCTGAGAACCGGACTCAAGAATCTAGTAAAGTACTACAAATTCGCTCTCCATCTGTCGCTTGAAAAAGCTTGTTTCACGTGCGTTTATCTGGACACTATGATATCTTCGTCTAGTTTTGCTGGCGTTGATGTCGCACTTAGCGCTAGGGCTGAGGCAGCACAAATCCATTAGGTCCCTATTCACAGTTGGTTATACGCTATGGGTTTGGAAAACCCAATCAAAGTGAGTAGAGATTGTTGTGAGAAACTATGTCTTTTCGTTATCTTCGCCTACGCTTTGACACATTGTAGTCAAATGCTGTCAAGGATAAGTTTTACCACCGGTTAAGGGCGTTCAGCAGATATTATAGTACTAATCGGAAACTTGAAGTGGATGTCGATCATCTAGGCGCAGAGGAGAGTCGTTTGGTTGACTTGATTGATTGCCGCTCCTTTTGGAGTACTTGTCTGAATTCTGATCATGCTCTTGTTTGCGCTAATCTTATCTTATGTTTCAATAACCAACAAATTCATTGTACTAAATGGATCGGTGTAAGCAAAATGACTGTATTTTCTTTTGCCACTAAATATCAAACGAACCTAAGTTATGGGCTAGCTATCGACCCACCGGAATTTACGGATGAGTACTGACTATATTTGCATTACGCCATAAAAATGGAAAGTTGCTCGCGGATACGCGAAACGTCCCGCTTATAAGCATTGTGTTTCTACGGGCTCCTTACAACTCAGTGAGGCACGTCGGTTTACTCCGGGTAACTGTGAACCCAACGATAGCCGTGGATTGTTACGCGATTGACCTACACAAAGCTTGCGTAAGGACCAAAAAGCCTGGAGGTTGGAGCGTGCTAACGAGTTTGAAACAGCGACTGGATCTGGTTACTGCTGGAAGCTCCTTCGACTCATCCGAGTCACTGGCTGCAAGGAGTCTTGTGTGAGTGAAACAATCTGTAAAGCTGACGGGATGCCAACCAATGACACCGACCGACATCTTGAACGATGGACAAAGTTTTTCGAGGCACAGTTCAGTGGGTCTGCTACTCTGGTGACATCGATCGAAATGTCCTGTCTTCTATGGTCGGTGACGACTGATCCACTTAAAGAGGTGGAAGTGCACAAGCAACCCCACAAGTTACCAGGCCCATATAACCATCCTGCAGCCTGGCTGAGTTGTTTTCAAATTTCTGGTAATTTGAGAGTGTTTAAACGTCTTAAAATTAGTCGATAGTTGTTCTTATGCTTAAAAAGGGTTCACGTTGTTTCTGCAGTAACTATCGGGGGATAACTCTTTTTCCGGGTTTGTCTAAACTATTGACTTCCGTCATAGTTTGTAGATTGTTCAAAACCGAGAAAAAATCGACTCACGAGGAGCATGCGGATTTTCGTCTTTGTCGGGGATTTATTGGTCATATCTTCACCCTCCACCAAACGTTAGACCACCATCATACTTGTCACAGGCTAGCAATCATAGCATTTCTTGACTTTAGGGCGGCCTTCGATTTGTTGGTCAGGACTTTTCTCTAGGATTTTCAATTGAAGAAGGGTATGCCTGAGATGTTTATTAACATCTTGAAAACCCTATACACTAACACCTCAGGGAATGTGTGGGCATGTACCCACCTCTCTCTATTGTTATATTTAGGCAGTAAGATTAAGAAGGGTTGTCCAATCTCATCATTCCTCTTCAACTTTGCCATCGTTGATATTTTGGAAATAGGTCTGGTCGAAGTAGGTTGTGCTGCAGAATGATTTTCGTACCTGGAGTATGCGGACGACGTTGTCTTACTGTGCAATGATACCCAAGCCATGCAATCCACACCTAGTCATTTTTGGTCCGTAGGTATGTCAGGCGTCTTGTACCTCCCAAGTGCAAAGTACTTTTAAAGGACTTGCAGGACCCTGAACCAGCACTCACTCTTGGTAGTGAGCAGATAGAAGTAGTCGAGTTCATATATCTGGGTAGCTGTATAAGTGTCGGTGGAGGCGTAAGTGATAAGATCAGTTCACGTATAGTGAAGGCCAGAGCGGCTCATACCAATCTGGTCCATCTTTGGAGCTTTCATAATGATAGTCTGGTTTTGAAAGGTCGAATCTGCGACGCGTCGGTGAAAGCTTTTTTACTTTATACTTGTGAAACCTGGCCTCTTCGGGTTGAGGATATCGGATGACTTTCTGTGTCTGATCATCGTCGTCTCCGAAGGATTGCTTACATTCAGCGGCAACATCATGTTAGTAATGCAGAGGTTCGGCATCATATGTTCGGGCACACTGACGATAGTTCGATTGGTGTCACCTTGAAACACCGACTTCGGTGACTTGGATATGCCCTACGAATTCCACATCGTGGATTATTTGCCGACATTGGGATTGGTTGGGAGAAGCGAAGAGGTGGTTAGTGCGCGACATGGTGTCCTGGTATGAAAGAAACCTATACGGTGCATATATATATTTCAGTATCATTTGTAGCAATGTTCCTGTGTTTAAATAAATCAATAAAACACGACGACTGTAACTCAGATTAGGGATAGTGAGATTTTCTCATATGTGGTTCGAAGTAAATATAGCTTCTACTTAAAAGCAATCTTAATTTATTGTTACGCACACTGTTAAAGCGATTAAAAGCCAGTCTTCCGCCTACATTGAAATTATTATCAATCTTGCTGATCTAATTAGCAGGAAAACAATATTTAACCGCCATCTACTGATCTCGGAAATCCTTAGCTGAAGCAATTTATTGTGACCATATTGAAGGCTTATGTTTGTTAATCCTTTTGAGTGACTTTAGGATCATGAGCTATGTGGTTTTCGAATTTGAGATATCTATTCATTACATACCTGACGACAGATTCTGTCGTATTTGTTAATATGGCTTTAGTACTATTCCGAAGTTCTTGTTGCTTCTCACATCTCGAGGTAAGAACAATTTAATAGGTGTTATCAGTAAGATGTTATCAGCCCATGAGGTTACTGCCTTCTGTTTTACGTTATATTGAGAGATTTTAGCTTTCTGGTGTAGACCCTAGTGATATTCGTTATCTGTCGTTGGACATCGAGTGATTGGGTTTATATTTATTAACGCCGAGACGATTGTATTTGTTATCCGTTTTATAAAGTTTACCCGCAGTGTTACTTTTTAAACTTCATTCTTTGATCCCATTAGTCCCTTTTGAACTACATCTCTTATGTTTAGTGTCCCACTGCTGTAAATACTATCATTTCCACTTATTGACCTTTCGTTTTATTACTTTTCTCTCTGTGCGGTGATATGAGGTGTGGAGAATCAGACTTGTACATGTTTTTCTAGGTCCTACTTTTTGTATGCATGATCGATTATTTTGTTCATATTTGTGCTTTCCAACTCTCAGTCATGGAATTCGTACATGGTAACTAGTCCTTTTGGTTATATTTGCCGCGACTGTTCGCTTGTATTCAGTCTGCGATGTCCATGTTTATTAAATGTCGTTTAAGCTGTTGTTGTTTAAGCGCTTTTTGAAAGATAAGAATGAGATAATCACGTACAAATGTGTTCATTTATCTCTTGTTCAGGCTTGGTGATGATCCTAATGCTCCCCTCCAGGTCGAGGCAAATACTGCGAGCGGTTCCAGTACAAACGATGTCTCTGAAAAAAACGTTGTTGTAAAAATGTGGCGTGACGGTTTTAGTTTAGACAGCGGGCCGTTACGTTCATATACTGATCCAGATGCTTCTGAATTTTTGAATGCAATACAGAATGGTCAAATCCCTGAAGTTAGTGTCTTTTGTTAGGATTACTCGTCTTTTCCTTTTATCATGTTTATTATTTGACGTTGGATGAAATTTCATACTTTTTTATTAACATCGGGATTGTAGAAATCTGAAAGTAGAATATCTTTCTTTGTCGTTATCTAGCAACATAGTAATGTGAGAAGAATTTAAGTAGTTATATTTCCTTAATATGTTGACTACAAATGTTGATAATGAAATTCCTTGAGAAATGCTCTCAGTATTCAGCTGAAACGAATAGACCCCTTTGAAAACAGAGCATATTTGTAGGTTACTAGCATTTGACCATAGGTGTCTTCAAAGGATTTCTCGTGTATTTTGGGACCATCAAGTTAGCGATTCTGAGGTTAGATTCAGAGTGCTAGATAAGTATAACAAATCAGCTGATGAAGTAATAAATCTTTATCAACTAAGATGGTTGTGACTTATATGATGTACTACCATTCACCGACTACCTCAACACACATTGATGGCTGATGTAAGAATAGGTCGGGAGAAACTTAGGAGCGGATAAACCAAAACATGTGATCATTCCATGACTACGCTAGCTCTTGGTTTGAGTCATGTTGGTAGGTGCAGATTACCTGGTCGAGGGGTCTGTGCAGTCATCGTAACCGGTGATTAGAGACTTTGGGCGATATGGCTCAAAATCACTCGCAATGGCGCAGGCGTATTAAATCTTCGCCTTATCTTAAGTCCCACGTTTGTAAATTCTTCATAAAATTATATTTTCTCGAATTATATCTTGTATTAATAATCTCTTCTACTACCATTAATAGTGTTTCTACCGTTACTACTTTGAGATTCGCCCTAACAATTTCATCCTACTGTGCTAATAGTGTATGGTAACTTGGACCGGTATACACATGTCCCAGGTTTTACTTTGCGTTTGACTTACCGACTCAATAGTTTTCGAAAAAAAGCTTGCATTAGTTTCGTGCACACGTCCTCCTTTGTCAAATACGTGTTCTTAAACGCGACGACGTTTTAGTATACATCGAAATATAACAAAACTCTATACATATAAGGATATAAACCAGCGTAAGGCAACGATAGTTATGTCATTCAACTATTCTCCCAAACTCTAACTTTAATAGTTCATAATCTTAGCGTCATTTATGTTGGAAATAATTTTTATCTAGAAAATTACAAATATATACATATATTGCGTCGATATTTTTAGTGTCTGTTGAGTGACTCCAATATGCACGAATGATAATGATACCAATCAAATGTATATCCCGCGTAACTTCGTGTATATTACGTCAATATATCCCGTTTATAACAAATAAGATGTAAAAAGTCAAGAACAAAGGTATTTGAAGAACGTGTGTTTCAAACGTCCTAATATTGAGCTGTAGACAAGCAACAAAAGATGCAGCGGTTGTGTGTAGCATTGGAGTTTGGTAATATACTCACTCAGAATATTAAGGTGACTCTGTTTTTATAAGTCATGCAAGAAATACAGGAAGCGGATTGATAAATAGGTGCTACCATACACACGCATGAAATACGATCAAGTTTACACCTGAGTAACTGTTAGGGGCAAATATTTGGCTGACAGAATAAATGGGAAGATTAGAATAATCCACCTATACAATGTTTATAATAAATCAAGTAGGCGTGTTACAATACTAATTGTAACAACTTAGCCGAACTGTTCGGTCTAAGGTTGGGATAAACCAATTATGGTTTTCAGGGTACAGTTTAATTATTGTTGATTTAATAGTTGTTCAGTAGTTTGTCACCATGGCTTTGATCTGATTCGAGATCGTAGTTGTATAACATTTACTAAATGTGTGATCACCTTACATGTAGACTCTTTAATTAGATACATAAGTGTAACTGAATGTTGTTCTCTAGTTGATTATGGAAAACTTTATTGCCTGTAGGAACTTTTAAAATCTGCTGGTGGAAGTATGGTTAATGTTATGCTCGAAGATCATCACCATGAAGGGTGGCAGGCTCCTTCTGCTCCTAAGATCATACCTTTTTCTGGCGTAGGACAAATGCTTGGTTCTCCGCTTCCTCACTTAGTCTCAAGCGTTCCAACTAAAGTCAATATCAGTGAAAACCATGAACCTGGTGTTACAGTAGACGATACCAAACCGGTAACACAAATTCAGATCCGACTACCTGATGGATCGAGGTAAACCATTTATTGTATGCTATATAAAAGTACTAATAAGTTGTGTCAGTAACATTTAGTATCTCATTAATAACGTCTAGTAGAATAATTTTGATTGGATCTTTGAAAGTTATATGTAAAATCTACTCTTTGCTCTATTTCATTTATTATTTGGTTTTTATGGTCTTAAATTAATTTCAACGCTTTCATGAAAGATACTTGTACCCCGAACTGGAATGTATGAAACCAGATTTCATACGAATAGTTATTAGCAAACACTTGAGTATCTGACAGTATGCTTCATGTGGAAAATGGTATTGATTTTTGTAAATAAACTTAGTTTTATGAAATTGATTGAATACTAAGCTTGTATTCCAATTAGCTTATATAAGCCAAATCCATCGTTTATTACTTATCTTGTCGTATTTAAATACCAAATAACTTTTTTAGATATAAGACTTATGTGTGAAACATGAAAGAATAAATGATCACTTGGTTAATCTATACTTCAAAATCATACGAATTACCTTTCTTTGAACTAATGTTTTTTACTACAGGTATTAGTATACTGTGGCACACTTCTAGCATTTAGATATTTATTGTATGATCAGACCGAGGCACAACAGCAGTCTATAAAGCTACAAAATATCAGTTCACATAGTAATTTGTAGACCAATTCAGGTTGATTCATGAATGCCCTGGTACGGCCGTGTTTGGGAAGAGTCAGCTCTCCCTCTCGAAATGCTCTCACATGGCCACGCGTATACATTCACCGTCAGGGAAGTCCTACTCACTGCCTTCTCATGGCGGGAGTGTTGTTTACGAAATTGAGAGGGTGGAAAGCGAATTTTCTGCGCTTTAACCGTGTTGATGGATACGGAGAGTTCACCTAGGGGAGTTGGAAAACGATTCCTAACCATTAGTGCACGTGGACTCCAGTATCGTGTGGGAACAAATGGCGTATGAACCAATTGTTGGTCACCGGCTACCATGGGATTACATCCCCTAAAGTTGCTCCACCGCCTTGTCTCAATCGGATCGGTTTGGATTACCTACAAGACCTTTATCAACAAATGATAATTCAGAAGATTTTTACTCAAAATCAAATGTCATAAACTAACTATTTTTGTCTTAGTTAGTTTATGACATTTGATTTTGAGTAAAAATCTTCTGAATTATCATTTGTTGATAAAGGTCTTGTAGGTAATCCAAACCGATCCGATTGAGACAATATTAGGAACACGTCATAGCATAATGACTGACGACCCCGCTATATGCTGTTTTGTATTCTACATAAACAGATAAAATCTACCGACACCTTGTTCTTATTTGAGCGACATCTTTCAGTGTTCTCAGCCGAGTAAAATCTTAAAAATCACTAACTTCTAGTCTGAGCCATGTTGGTAGATGCAGACTACTTGGTTGGGGTCCGCGTGACTATCGTAACCAATGGTTGGAGACTCTTGGTGACATGGCTCAGAATCGATCACAATGGCGTCGGTGTATACACTCCCTGTCTTCCCTTAAACTAAGAGATTAAAATCGCTTCATATCTTTCTTTCTACGAACCAATTCTTTCTTCTTGTACTATATCTCTATATGCAATCTTTCTCTTATATATTACTACCTTTGACCTAACCACTGCTATGAATCCGGTGTTCATCTTGTTGTGCTGATGCGGTATGGCAACCTGGACCGATGCACATATGTGCCTGGTCCTACGTTGTAGCTGACTGACTGATTTTTGTCCTTGTTTCGTTTTATCCTGGCTTTGTCTAACTATGCTCACAGAACATCTAGAGATGGCATCATCAAGAAGGAGTAGAGACGATTAGCTAGCTCTAGCTGATACAATTGCAAATTAGATACAAAATGTTCTTGAAACTTGATCTTTTACTGTTTCAGATTTGTGATCCGTCTAAACAATTTTCACACAATTGGTGATATCAGAAGAGCAATCATCAGGTAGTTTTGCTGTTTTTTTGCATTTTGTGTTATATGACTTATAAGTAGCTTAAAAATTTATAAAACATTTATTGTTGGAGAACAGTTTTTTGTCAATTTCATTATGTTCTATGAACTTTTTTTACCATAGAACAAATTGTTTACTTTAGTTTAACAATCTGTGAAGATCATTTGCAAGTGGTGTTTCCGGAGTTACATTTACCTCAATTGTGATATGAGAAAATCTGAAGTATTTGTTGATTTTAGGTAAAAAAAGTTTTTTACCAAATGGTAATAGCTTTTGTCTTCAGTATTCTTTGTATTCTGTTTCATTTCCTCACCACTTTATGGTTCTACAAGTGCCCTATCAATTCATAAATTTCATCCATGACACAAATAAACCGAAAATGCAACGTTCAGACTGATTTTCCGCCTTCTTGTTACCGAATTTTCGATTGAGTTGTGGCCATTAAATAAATTTGACGCCTAATATCTACTTTTGTACTCTGACGTAATTTTCTTTTCCAAGGATCTTTTTCCATGAGTATATTTCAACTCGTATGTTAATAAAATTAGTCAGCTAACAAAGTATTTTTAAAATGTGATTAGCACTATTTAATCAAACAGTGCAATATTTATCATTACGTTTCTAAGTTAAGCTAGTTATTCCCTCCCATCATAGTAGGAGAATTCTATTGGTCGTCTAAAAAAAGAAGAGGCTACTTGTCACTGGAGAAAGCAAAGTAAACGAACTGGTTACAGTTCATATTGCGGTTTTTATGCATATTTGAGGATTTTTATATTATCACTGAATTAATTACTTCACCATATTATGCATAGTGGGAAGCATAGATGACTAGTATTCTTTTTATTTAATTTGTTTTATTGTTTTGAGTACATGAATTTAGTGAATTATGCTTTCGTTAAAATAATTTCGACTTATAAAGCTTGACATATACAAATATACATGATCAGATATGAACTGATGTTGAATGGGAATTATGATAAACTCTTTGTAATTAAAAGATTGTTTCAGTATATGTAGTTCATTGTAGAATTTCATGACAATCACTTATTGTTTTATTATGGTTTGATCTAATATACATTTTCTGTAATATAAAACGATTAGATTAACTAGACATACTTTTTAATACGTGTTATTTTAAGACTGAATGCTTTATTTTCACATCATATAGCACGGAGTTACATAATTAATACAAAGTATCGTTGTAATGATCTTTTATCATCTTTTAAATACAAACGTTTAATACTATTTATATGAACTAATTATACCACAGATATTTAGCATGAAGTTTTTTTTTCGAATACTATATTACTAGTATCTAAACCGTGAATTACACTACTAATTAGATGTATATATATATATATATATATATATATATATATATATAATCAGGTGTATAATTATTCATATGTTTACCATCGAATATGATCATATTTATTCTTGGCTTTCTGTTTCTATCTACAAATACCATTTATAATATATTCTACCTGATAATATTTTCATACTTCCACTATTCCCTCCCTTGTTCTTTTTCTTTTCCTTTGACACAATATTTAAAATAAGTTCAAAAATCGTATTTTCAATTATAATATTTATTATTTATTTATTAATAACTATTATCATTTGAATAATTGTAATTGAACATTTCACCTGTTGTGTTTCCTTCTCTATTTACATAATATTTTGATATTTCTAAATAGTTCATTCATTTGAAGTTATTTATTATGATTATTATTATTATCACTAGGGTATTCTCTTTTTTGTTGAAGTCAATTAGCCTTTTTATTTTTCCTTACTATAACTTCTTCATTATTCTGATCATATGTGTATTATTATTTTAATTCAAAACTGATCAAGACGTCATTACTATTGTTATTTTTTAAAAAAAAATATTACTAATACCTATTAAAACGGGTATATTGTTGTTCTGTCTGACACACGTATAAAAAATATAAAATTACAAAACAAACATTGACTATTCTCTGAATACATTTGTATTGTTCTAGTTGTTATTCTTATTATTGTTTTTAAAATTAAAATCTCTTTGTCTGATTATCCATTTCTTTTATTATGGATATAATATATTTTGATATATTGAAAGTTTATCTTTTAATATTGATAATACTTAGTTTTTTCTTCTTTTTTTGATGCAATATTTACATTATTGAATTTATCAATTAAATTTTAACTAATGGACCGATATACGAATATTCGTCAAGATTAGAACGTATAGTTTGACAGAAATTGGGCACCGTTTAAAGTGAAGTCATTATATGTGAAAATTATATTTGAAATAATCTCAGCGATTGAAAAAACTGAGATTATTTCAAATATAATTTTCACATATAATGGACCGATAATTTGAATTATCAACCAGAATTTCATAAATTTCAGCAACTAAATAGTGATATAATGAATATCACACAAACAATACGTTTCAACGTATAAGTAAATTACCAATTAATATAACTCAAAGTTGAACTTAATCTACATAAATAACTGACAAATTCTACATAGTTTCTATGTAATAAAAATTAACATTTAATCATCAAATCATGATCATGTATAAAAAGACAACTAGTTTTAATTACCATAAAGATACTCCTATCAATAATATATGTATATCATCAATAATTCTAATTTCACTTTGTTTTATAACTCACACAATTGTTATTCACAAAATGTGTAATGAAGTAACAGTCAAGTAAATATTTAACTTTTCTCTCAAATTTATTTTTTAAAAAAAAGTAATATGTTGTAGTTTTATTTAAAAAGAAAGAAAAGATTTTAATCAGTAAGAAAATTAGCAATCAACGAGTTTGTTACTGTTTAATGAATACTAACAACAGTAACGTCTATAATCTGTTACTCTTTGTTTTATTATCCTGATGTAGTAGTTGGATTACAATTGTCTGTTGTTTTTTTTTTTTTCTCTTTTTTTCATTGCATCATGCCGTTTACTTTCATTATTGATAAGTAAAATTGAACGTGTATTATGAGATCAACTTTCTACATTTATAAACGTGCACTCCAGCTGTGTTATCCATCTTAAAAATTTTCGAGATGAAATATAGAAAAATTTAATTAAATTTTTTTCTTGTCTAGTAAATTCTGAAGTGTAGAAAAGGAAATTCAAAGTTAACATATTAGTTACCATTCATTTATTAAGTTAGACTGTATTTTTACAAAGATTTTACACAGTACGATCTTTCCTGTATTCGGCTTAATGATTAGTAAGTCTATCTAATACCATTGTATGCAATATAAGTCTAAATTCATTCATTCTCAAAACTTGATATTCTGATAATGAGTTTAAAAATTTCTGCCTAGTGTTTCTTGTTTTTCTTTAAGCTCCAACCGTAAATTCTCATTGATTGTTTGTTACATTGTATATGATTTATATTTTGTAATTCATTGTTTTTATACTTCGTTATTGAATTTTCGTTGTGCAGTGTCATTTTAACCGTAGGTTTTTCTGTTATACGAGAATATAGATTTGATTTTATGTCCACTGTCAAATTTCATATTTCTTCCTTTTCATACGTAAAAAATACTGGGTTTTAAGTCATTGGGTGGTAAGCTCGAATCCATTCTACCTAATTTGGTTTGGACAAACAACTAACGGCATAAGCCGTCACATATAAAAAATTATGATAATTTTATTTCAGCTTTGCATTGGTTTCTTGTAGATGTTTTATTACTCTTCCTAAAGCAACATTTTCGGAAGATGTTTTCTGAAATTGTAAAAGTATCTTACTATTATTAGGTCATACTAAGTTATTTTCTATAATTAGCTGCATTACTGTCAAAAATGTTTTTCACGCCTGCTATATTTTGTACAATGGATAGGTCTTTTTTAGCAACAAATAAAATGTTTACAGTATGTATGTAAAATATTCGTTGATTGTATCAATACAATATATGTACAACTGTAAGAATGAATGTGATTATTTTCTATTCCCAATTACTTTTAAATTATACAGTTTTCTACCTATTTACTAGACTAATATAAAGAGTAACTGTCGGTTGTTTAACAAACATATACTTTGATAATGAACAACTTTGTTGTTGTTTATTTACTGTTTCTGATTTTGTCTACCTTTGTGAATAAAAGAACGTAAAGTTCATTACCTTGCATAACTCAAAGATTATTTTTCATATTTATTATTTTTATTTATGTTCTCATTTAGGGATAGTCATTCATAGCCTTATTAATACTAACTGATATAATTTTCACTATCTAATTGTACTAATATTTTCACTAGAAAATCGTTTGTCATGTTTCCTAAATTTTAACTGTAATAATAATTGTATAGAGATGAACAAATTCATGAAATAGGAGAATGTTGAGATTGTTCAAATCAATTACTGAGTAGTGTGAATGCTTTTGAATGTGACTAATTGTTGTTAGTATATTGACTCCTTGAACAGATGACTTGATATTGTCTCCATTTACACTCTGATTACATTTTGAAGAATAATTTCCAAAAACACGGTTAAATTCTTTGTTAATCTTTTTTGTAACACGATCTCTTTTCTCAGTCTAAATTTCGTAACTTCCGCAATTTTATATATCAGTAAAATGTTTTTACTTTACATGAAGAAAATCCAACCTTGTTTTTTTTGTTTGGAAATTTCAATTATCGTTATCTACGGTCTATCAAAAGAATGACCTAATATTTCATTGATATAATATGGAATTCTGATGTGTAAGCTAGTGTGATTTCACAACCTCTACATAAAACTATGATTTATTTACTTTTAATACCTGTACTGCATAATTGATAAAAACTAAAACAGTTTTGTGTAATCTTGTTATATGATTGCATATTTTGCATTTCAAGATATCATTATAAGTTCTGTTTTTAGCTTTAACAGCATTCATTGAAATGTAATTATTGCTTGTATGTATATTGTGCAAACTAAATCAAATCAGTACAAAAATGCAACATTGTCGATTAAACCAGTATAATTTTGTATATGTTGTATCTTCAAGACTTCAGTCAAGTTGTTGTACTCTCTTAACATAATTCTAGACGTGTTTCATAATGATCTGATTCAATGAAGAAAATAATGCGTTCATAGTATACATTCCATAAACGTTATTATTAAGTTAATGAGTCCTAAATAACACACAACCTATGTTAAATAGGATTTCCTGCCGACTCTCCATCTTCCTAACAAGAAAACCGTGCAGACAATGTCGAATCATTTAGACTAGTGGCCATATGGCAACTTGATCTGCATAATTCAATCAGCACTACGAAAACTTTGCAAATTTACTCGTTAATCAATCGTTGCAGTGATGTCTAGTTCATTGCACTAGTTTTTTGTGATATATATATATATATATATATATATATATATATATATATATATATATATATATATATATATATATATATATGGCGAGACTATAATTTATGGACGAGTCAATCAGATTTAGGATAACAGGTCTCGGATTTTGGCGCGGAATGCACTCATCCAATTGGCTAAATGGCGTTGCGGCCTTATAGCTGATGTCAGTTCGTGATGAAAACCCTAAATCTAGTTTCTAACACCTTAACTATCAACTGTAAATCATAATTCTAATTCCTCATACTGGTTTATAACCCTCATTTAACACAAGTAGGTGGACGTTCTCCAAGACAGTTTAGCGTCGCTCAAAGGTCGTCCATATATATATAATATCCAAGACTATTAACGCATAGTAAAATTAATGAGTTTTTATAAAGTATTATTTTTTATTGTTAAATAAAATTTACTATGGTTCTAAGAATTATTAAAAATTACCGAGTTTTAAGTTGTGTATTTAGTTATTATTATGTCTGGGTCGAATAAAATTTTGGTGTTTGTTGTACAATGAAGGCACATGGTATTGGGTTTCAATATTTTCCAAACTGCCATACTCAATATTGAATAGGAATTTATGTTTCACTAGATAGATCTCTTATTTCATTGTTGTTTATTGTAAAACAGAACTACAATATCTTAATAAAAGTATTCAGTTTGTTTTTAATTCATTCACTTAATCTTGATTGGAATGTAAATAGATATTATAAAAATAGTTAACAGTTATTTACTGATTCCACAAATAAATTATAATTTCCTACTTTTCCTCCCTACACACAATAAGAACTTAACATTATTTAAGAATTTTTATTATCTACATAGTGAAAACAAAAACATTTATTTGTAACATTAGTGTTCAAAATAAATGTTGTTGAATTTTTAAAAAAATCTAATTAAAATTTATATAATTCATTAGAAAAGTGTACTGTCATCCAGTCAGTTTCAATTCAAGATTTTATTTGAAATCTATTAATACTACTTTGTTGCCAAACTATCCTTCAAACATACACTTCAGTAAAGTTCAATGGTTAAGAGCATGAGTTAGTTGAAGCTAGACCACCATGGAAAATCTGGAAGCACTGGACGGCCGTTTCGTCCTATTGTGGGACTCCTCAGCAGTGCGCATCCACGACCTCGCCACCTGCGAGATTCGAACCCAGGACCTACCCATGACTCATGATCTTAACCATTGAAATTACTACAATCTCCACAAAAAAACTTCAGTAAATGTGTCTTCCTTTAATCACTAAATTACTTCCATATCTACAATTATTTGGGTTTATTTTAATAGTTATGTCAAGACAATTTTCTGTGTATATGATGTAGTTTCAGGAGATATGTACGTTTCACAATTGATTGATCACTGGGTGGTGATCAATGTCATGCTTGTCTAGTCCTTATTAGTGCAGATCGAATGCTATCGATCATGTTGCATACATAGTGCCCGCGGTGTCGAGTCACTTAGATTGGTGGCCACATTGCAACATGATCGATAGCATTCGATCTGTACTAATAAGGACTAGACAAGCATGACATTGATCACCACCCAGTGACCAATCAATTGTGATTACATCTCAGTCCTACAGGAGGTTAGTCACGGCTCGGATAGCTCAGTGGTAACGTCTCTGACTGTGAAGCTGGGTGACACGAGATCGAATCCGCCAGGGAGCACCAGTTCCCTCAAGATTACAGGTACACCTTGCTGACGAGTGCCAAGTAGCACGAAACCCGGGTCCAGGGTTTCCTGTTGACTACCTTCAACTACCATCTAAATCTCAATATGTACGTTTCCCTACACTCATTGACAGTCGTAGTAGTAACAGTAATTCTAAGTTTAATGATTTCTAAACAATATATTATATGTTATTTTCCTAAACTTTTGTAATTTTCATGTAATGACCCAACTTTTTCTGGTCAAATTACAGGAGTGTTGAAAATTGTTTCACTATATTTTATAAAACATTCAAATAGTATTTTTTTATACGTAGGTTGATTTAATTAGTTGACTCTTCCAATCGTGTTGTACATGTAATCAATATTGGAAGTTAATTTCATCAAGAAAAAGAGCTTTCTATATTAAGGATAGTCAACGAGTGATTTAATCTGTACATTAAAAAAGAGAAAATATCAAGCCACAATAAAAAAGTTATACTTAATAATAATCTGGTTTAGTGCATTTACTTTTTGTATCACTGTGTCAAATGCATCCTTTGATAAAACTGTTCAACTTACGTTTCTCTAATGATAACTAAATGTTAACGAGACTGTTATCATCACGGACACGGAAAAAAAGATAACTCATCTGGCATGTACACATTCGTGAGCTTAGCTTTTATCCACACTCAATGTGTAAGGCCCTCATCCATTGAACAACCGCTCAATTATGGACTTGCATCAGTTAGAAAATTATTGTCAACCAAATAGCACCGAAAAATTGGCAAAAATCAAGTGACAAACGCTGGATGACATAAACAAAACATGCCCTATTCGTGACAGAATTAAAACCTTACTGCTTACTATTTTTCAATAAAAATTTGGGGATTCTTTCCAAAGCTCTGTAAGTGTTATCGTTACTACGAAGTTCGAAGCTAGTAAATTTAATTTTTCACTGAGTTTTAGATTTTTATTACTGAGAATTTCAAACTGAAAGCGAAACACCTTTTCAATAATCCATTATTCTCGTTGATTGGTTGGTTGATTTAAACTAACATCGAACTGACCAGTGTCAGAGTAAAGACTCAAAACCCTATTAATTACGAGTGTTGGGTACAGATATATATCTATCTTTAATGATGTAAATATATTCGTGTGTTAAGTAAGTCATGAAGTAATCTTGTTTATCGTTTTTTCTTGCCAAATCAGTAAATTAAGTGTATTACGACTTTATGTCTCTCTCACTACTTTTTTTCAATTGACTTCTAATGGTAGTAAACTATCTATTATTACTCAGTATGTGTTTCTTCAGCAAAAAATATCTCGTTGGAAAGATTCATAAACGTGTTACAAAACGTTTTTTTTTTCCAATGGAACCTTAAATGTTAAAACTGTAAAATGATTGCAATTAGATGGTTTCATGAATAGATATATGAATTGTTCTCCGTATGTAAGGGTTTAATTCTATTTCTTAACCTCTTAAATTTACTGGTGATGAGTGAATAGACTTCCAATATGAATGAACATTTTGCTAAGAAAAGTATTTATAGATAAATTTCTAAGATGTCTGGTTATAACAGTCACTTCTAGGTTTGCATATTTTCATGTCTATTCAATTTATTTGTGCTGTCAACATCGGAGTAGTTTATTTCTAATAGCTGGTGATTTTCATCACTGATAATCTTGAAAATTTATATAATTGATCGAACAAAATCGAATATATATATATATATATATATATATATATATATATATATATATATATATATATATATATATATATATGACTAAGTTGAATACTTTTATACCTGAGATAACCTTTGCTTTATATTTGTTTGTTTCGATAATTGAAGCCAGTGTTTTTTCAAAGGCTCTCGCAACTGAATAAGATGCGTAGTGTTTGAATAATACTTCTTAGAAATCATATTCTTGTATCTTCAATAACTTAGCGACCTGCTTGAACATCTGGGTTACCTGTTCTTGCCATCTAGATATTTCAACAAGTTATCTGTTTTGTTTTAACGCATCATTATGCCTATTAGTCCCATAGCCTATTCAGGTGCGTTTCTGAAAAGTGTACAACCTTTCGTTGTACAAGTTACAAAAGGCTCAATCAGAGATATCTTGGTTGTTGGGATTATGCAGCCAAAAAATGTACATTATTTTGATGTCGATTTAGTGAACTGCTAACATCTAACTGGCGACCACTCGTTATTTATTGTCAGTATCGACTAAGAAGTAAGAAACGGAAATTTGTAGAATTACTTCATGCTAAGAATTCTATATTGTACCAAAAATATAATATTGAATAAAGCTAATAATAGTAATAGTATTAAGTAATGGTTTTTTTCAAGCGGAGCAGATTGTTGAGTAATTTTATTTTATTTTAAACTTTTTCAAGTTAATAAACTAAAGTTTTCTAGATGCTTTCTGTGGTAAATTTCTGTAAATCCAATAAGATTAGTTCATTATGTACCATTTTGTTAGTGATGTGTTTGGAATTTTTAATTTATGTTTATCCCCACTGAAACTGTCCGTGGTAGGTTAGTATTTTGCTGCATCAGATTATTATGTGAATAAGACCTTTTTCCAAAGATTTATATTACAAGGTTTCAATTATTAGTCTTTAAACACATATACATTTTTCCATCTAAACTTTATTTTTAATCTAATTGGGTACGAGGTGTAATTTTCACTGTCCGTTACATTCTAGACAAATTTGTCACTACTGAATAGTTGTTATTTTCGGTCATGTAGCACAAATTATTTATTCAGTATGATTTATTTGCCTTTCTTATGGTAATTTGTTTAAATTTGTTCTTTTTTTAATATTTTAGGAACCTTATATAATTGTTTAGCGTATATATTTATAATCTTTATTTTTGGGTTTACTCCCTTCAAAATTTTAGTGAAAGACCAGATTTGGCTTCCAGATTATTTGCATTGATGACATCCTATCCGACCCGTGAGTTAAATGAAGATACACAAACACTAGAAGATGGTGATCTTCTGAATTCATCACTATTAGTTCGATTTATATGAATGATACTTTATTATTGGTTGAATTCACTGTTAATACCATTGTTATTACTACTATGACTACTATTAGTAGCACAATTATCGAATGTGAGTAGTTTTTGTTGTTTATGAAATGCAGAGAATGAACAAAATTTGAGAATATCTAATATATTCTGTAATTTTTCCAACGGTACTTGTGGTTAGTACTTTAATTGTTTTAAAATATTTCATGACTCAATACACACAATTTGTCTTTTTATCATCAAATTTTTTGGTGAGAATATTCAAGGTAAAACTGTTTATCTGTTGGTTTTGTTTCATCATTTTTATGCATGTAAATCTGTTCTTTAATCAACTAACTTTCACGACAAATGTACACCGTTGTTTGTTTGAAGATGAATTGATAACAAATAAAGAATACATTTATATATGCATTAATACAAAGTTTTCAATCCTTTTTCTCTTCAAATGTTTTTGGATTCTTTAGTCTGGAAATGATCGTCATAATGACGATCTACATAAGTAGTCTTAAGCCGTTTGGGTTTTGTTGAGTGTCTTCAGGCTGCTAGTTCTATAGGTTACGTTCGCGCTTATCTTTTCCCTTTAATCGAAAAGAAATGGGTTTAAAGCTTGATGGTAAGACTATTTGATTTTCTACCGGTAAACAGTATTTTGATTTAGACAGGCTGCTGTTATCACCTTAATCTGAGTTCACAAACTCATACGTTTAAGCAAATTACACTATACGTATAAGGCGACCTGCTTGAATATCTGGGTTACCTGTTCCTGTCATTTATATATCTCAATAAGTTATATGTTTTTGTTCGTTTGTTTTAATACATCATTATGTCAATTAATTGTATAACCTATTCAGGTGCGTTTCTGGAAAGTGTACAACCTTTCGTTGTACAAGTTACAAAAGTCCAAATCAGCGACATCGTGGTTGCTGACAATATGCATCGAAAGGAATATACGTTATTCAAATGTCGATTCCTGGACTGCTAACTTCTAGCTGGCGATCACTCAACATTTATCGTCAGGATAGATCAAGAAATAAGAAATGGGAAACTTGTTGAAATACTTCATGCAGAGAATTCTATATTGTATAAAAAATATAGTATTGAATAAAGCTAATAATAATACTGTTCCTGGATATAACATACTACCCTTAGTTGTTGTGTAATTCAGGAATTTCATGGTAAATAATTTGAAAGGCAGGGATAAGTGAGAGAAGGTAATGTTTGTTTACAAGTACACGCTATTAGTGTTACTGATTCTGTTTGCGAAAATAATCAAGCACTCAATATGCCTACTTCTATAAAGACTTCTTAATCATCATAAGAATAGTGAACAAGTAGAATATCAGCAGTCAGTATTTCAGCTCAATTCACTGGTGTTCAGCTATAAGTTATCAGTCCCGAACAATGCCTCCTAAATGTTGGGCATACTTGTCTTCTATCTGTTCAATTGCGATAAGTGTTTTGATTCTTTAATTTGTCAAAACCAACCAGTCAAGTTTTTAATCTCGTGTCCCCACATAAATATTATATTCAGCACAAAAGTGACAACTCAAGAAGAAAATACATTGACAAGCATCATTACAAAATTAGTAAAAGTTAAAGAAAAAAAACGCTGTTATTCGTCGATCGGTTCATTGTTTACTAAGTTTTAACTTAAAATGATTGAATCCAATATGCCAGTTATGCTAAAGAAAAACACTTCGAATATCGTTAACAACAATAAACTACTACTGTTGAGCTAAATCCGAGACTCAATCATATTTCTAATATATGTGTTATCCGAGTGTAGCGTTATGTTTTGTCTGAATTAAACCGTCAACTTTTAGAATGAGCTACATACAATTGTTAATCACGATTGTAAATATTTTCGATTGTCAAAATGACAGTATCTGAACTGGATTTACTGGTTATTTTCAGTTTTTTCCTAATTAGTAATATATTAAATATGGTTGCGATATTTATACAAAAAAGTTTCTTTTCCATTTAAATAGGTAGTGTTAAATCAAATGTACAGTATTACCACCATTTTGAATATAATAAGATTGCATTTAAAATGTTTCTTGTTTCATGATCACGACATGCACTTTCTGTGTTTTCACATTTGCTTAAGTAATATTTCATTAAGACAATCTTAGTCACTGAACTGATGTTTGCTGCGGAATCATTGAAAATCAATAAGTAATGTATTCTTACTCAACAGTTGAATGGTTTCATACATATAGTTAAACTAGGAGGTTCTTTGTTTGATCTCATTGAAAGTCCGTAGATTTTACGGCTTTCACAAATTCGTTCAAAAACCATCTCATGAAGTAGTGTTTTTTTTAGTATTTAAGTTTTGTGGGAAATTTTGTTTAATTGTGACATTGTATGCTTCATTTATATCACATGTGGTGAAATAAGTATAGATTTTACCCTTGTCATTCCTTGGGCCATTAAACACTTTCGTTGTACCAAGATTATATGCCATTTTCAAATGGCATTATTACTAAATTTGCGTACGGTTGTCTAGACTTTCTTTGGTAAACTTACCATGTAATAAATAAATGGAATGGGTTATGTTTGATTAATAATGTCGATTATCGTTGAGATTTTTTTAAAATAATGCGTTCTTAGCTAAACATAGCAAAACCATTAACTATAAATGAAACAACTGTCATGGGTATCCTGCTTTCAGTAATTACGGACTGAGATTTCAAGATATTACAATGCAAAAAAATGTAAAGTGTTCACAATAATCAGTGAGCTTTTGTACATGGGGAAACTATAATCATTCCTCATAAAAGAATACATTCTTAAATAAGATTTAATAATTAAAAATACTACAAGTAAACCATTGGAATCGACTTCAATAACCCTTCATATACACCTGAAGAATAATATACTATAAGGCTATCGCAATCAAAGCAAGTTGAACAGGGTTTGAACCAGTAATTTAGCAAAATCGTTGCTACAATACATCTTTTTCTCATAGAAGTTTATTAAATGTAAAAACGAAATTTAAATGAATTTGAATTAATCAACAGGAGTTAGTCAATAGGTGAATCAAATAATTCAATCTAGAGATTCCAGTCCATTACCATTCATATTGTTCAGTGTATCACAGTCACTAGTTAGGATCGGTTATTATTAGACGTAAGTTCACTAATTCATATATATAATGAAGAAGTATCAATTTAACTAGATTAAAATGATTTGATCATTTAGATGTATTGAAGTTGGATTTAAATGAAAAATGAATATAACACTGCTACTTCATGTATATAACCAATCAACAACAAAAAATAGACCTAAGTTTTAAGATTTACTTGTGATAGATTTTATTCTGTTATCTAAGTCATATCCTTGTATATATATTTACAGACATAAGCATTCGAAGTAGGTTAAGAATGAGGTTTTAAACAAACGCTCGACAGGTATTTGGGTCAAAATAACAATTTATCTATTTTGATAAAAAAACAAACTAAAACATAATACTTAATAAATATCGTGCACTAACTATTTATTTTTTTAAAAAGTATTGCCGACAAAGAAGCATAAAAAGTTGTTATATGTCTGATGTATTATTGAAATCATTTAAAGTGTTTCTCTTTTCATTCTTACTTACTTACGTACGTCTGTTACTCCTCGTGTAGGAGCATATGTCACTCACCAGCATTCTCCATCCAACCCTATCCTGGGCAATCCTTTCCAGATCTTTTCAGTTGTTATTCATCCTTTTCATATCTGCTTCTATTTCGCGACGTAATATGTTCTTTGACCTTCCTCTTTTCCAATTCCCTTCAGGATTCCAAGTTAGGGCTTGTCTCGTGATGCAGTTTGATCATTTGCGTAATGTATGTCCTATCCATTTCCATCGTCTTTTCCTAATTTCCTTTTCAACTGTGAGCTAGTTTGTGCTCTCCCAGAGAAGGCTGTTGCTGATGGTATCCGGCCAATCGATGTTAAGTATTTTGCGTAGACAACTATTTATAAATACTTGTAACTTCTTGATGATCGTTGTAGTAGTAGTTCCGTACAGTAGGACTGTCTTGACGTTCGTATAGAAAATGGTGACTTTGATATTGGCTTGCAGACACTTGTTTTGAGTTCGTTATGTTCTTTAATTGTAGGAATTCGGCTCTTGCTTTGTCAATCCTCGCGTTTACGTCTGCATCTGATCCTCCTTGTTCATCTTTTCATTCTGGTCAATTTAAATTTGCTTAATTAAACGGATATTTTTTTCTTCCATAAAATAAACTCAAACCAAAATGATAAAAATTAAATGAGAGTAATTCATTACTGACAGATATTACTTATTTAGCTTAGTGTAAAGTACATAATGTGTAAATAAAAAACAATAATTATAATAAATTTGGAAAAAAAATTTTCTTGTTAATTTATCCACTTTTTTTGTCTGAAAAAATAAAGAAATATAGTTTCATTGTCAATCCAATTTATATTGAATAGCTAGAACAGACGTAAATTATGGGACTATACTGATTTTGTTTGATTATTTGCTTGTTATATATATATATATATATATATGATGACATTTACTAGTAAAGATAAATCGAAATGTCTGAAGTAAATAAGTAGCAATATACTGGTTTTTATTGAGTTATTTGTGGATAATAATTCTATGAAGCCTTTGTTATGATTAGTGTGGAACAGTTGCTTTAGCCAAATTATTAGTGATATTACTAGTTCTTTTTCCCAGTGCCAACTTTTGTATGCATTTGATTCAACTGTAAAAAAAAGCCATTTACTGATATACTTGCCTCAATATTATTGTATTCAAGACTAATAGGAAAACGAATGAATTTAGTCAGTTGATTTAATTACCTAAGAAACTTATAGTCAATAGTTAGTGTACACACTTTTTACAGCTAATTTCTTGTCAATCAAAACGTTTTATCTGATCATATCTCTTACAAGAGGAAGCGAATAGTTTTGTGTTATATAGACCAAAAGTTATTACTCTGGAACAAAAAATATTAAAAATTAGTTTCCACCTAGATTTAAGAG